CCCCCCCCCCCCCCATTTGATTTGTAAAAAAGAATTAGCTAATTTTAGAATATGAATTTGATTATATAAGTCATAGCCTATAGGAACTACGCATGATGAGCATTATAATTACTGTAGTGGTCATTGAACTGTGTTACTTAGCTTTAGCTAGCTTTTGTCTTTAGAAGGGTCATTTGATGTGATTTAGATTAGTATGCAACAGCAACAGCAAGAGGAATATTGGTAGCTTTGTACAGTTTTTAAATATGTGAGAAATGTAGGGTGAATTTCATTTTTGCACCATTTTAGGGCACTTTTTTAGGGATAGTGAGGGCTATTTGTGGGGTTGTTGCTAACACAAGTGAGCAACAGAATCCCTTACATTCAAGCCATTAGCAAATGTTACATACAGTCAATGTTTCAAGGAAGTAATTTTGCATTTTCAGAATCATCTGCACTAATCCTCGGTAGCACATCCTCGTGATTAATTTTGAAACCTGAGGTAATTTTAGATGTTATCAGGTATTTTAAAATCCTCAATTGCTTACATATACCCAAAGATTATCAGTGGAATATATTTCTCACATATTTTGGTTATTTATTTTTATTTTGGCCAAACCATGAAGAAACAGTATGCTAGTTAAACATTTTTAAAAATATTTTCCACAGCAGTCAATTATAAACAATAAAGACCCATTTATGCTGTGTGAGAAAAGTTGTTAAATAACACCTTTCAAAATGCTATATATTTTTTATGTGATTGTACTAAAGCCAAAAGAAATTAAAAGCCAAAAATGTTTACTTTATAGTACTGATGTATCTTTTTCCAATTAGGCTATTGGATCACACTTTATTTTAAGGTCCAATTCTCGCTATTAACCATGAACTATTCTTTGCTATTAACCATTAACTATGACTTTTGCCTCAATAATGTCCTAATTTGCTGCTTACTAATAGGATTAAGGATGTAGAATATGGTCATGCAGAATAAATGCTTTATATATAAGTACAAAAAACAGCCAATATGTTAATAATAGGAATGCTAATAGTTAATAGTGAGAATTGGTCCCTATACTAAAGCGATACCAAATATTGTTCGAATTTATTACCCTGGTAAAAATAATTGTTTAGTTTGATTTATTTGTATAGCGTTTTCATAGTAGTTTGAGCAAAGGTGATAGTGGGCAGAATTTGACAAAAGTCTAAACAAGACACTCACACACTTTCTCATTTTTACACAAAACCATTTTTAAACAGCAGGTGTTGGTGAATTACTGATGTTTAGATGCAGAGCAATTTCAAGCATATAAAATTGTTCTGCCGACATGATGTCAATGCCTTGTCTGTGCATTTCTGCAGGGCTTTGATCCCGATGCTCCTTTCTGGAATATGGCAGCTATTTCTGTGGCCATGCCGGATGTGAAAGCCCCACAATGTGAGTACTCCCCAGCAGGCTCTCCTGCAGGCTGCAGCATGGATTTGTCCATGGACCTGTCCGTCCTCAGCTCCCCACTGTCTGCTTTCCCTCATCATGGCGTGCCCCCCTTCCCTGCCCAGGATGTAGCTCCGGGCCACTGCAACAACAACAATGGCCTGCTCAGCAACCTGGGGGTCTACTGCTCCACCAGCAGTATGCATCCCCTTAAACAGCCTGATGGCCAGTCTGGCTATGTGGCGATGTGCTTCCCACAGGGCTGCGTGAACACCGGCGGCACCCGGCTTTACCGCAGCCTGGAAAACCTGCACTGGGCTGCCATGTCCGATCCCAATGCGTATCCTTACAGGAGCGTGGACAGTGAGCTTATACTTCACTGCACTTCAACCAGCCACTGGTACGACGGACCTCCTCAGGGACCGCAGGTTTACGGCTTAATGCCTTCCCATGAAGGCATGGCAATCTACGGCCGCCAAGGAGTGGTGAGGAAGGATATACCGCTCTTCCCACAATGGCTTTTACCTGCGGTTGAGGACTGGGGCATGAACGGAAATGCTCGGAAGGGTCTTCGAGACAAGCTGCGGCTCCAGAGCACACGTGTGACGGAGCCTCACAAGCCCTTACGTCCTCAACCTGTGCTTGGTAATGCACCTTCTCCGCTGTATCCGTGCGATCAGGACGTAGCGGTTCGGCCATCATTGCACAGGAATGTACAGCAAGAGTTGAGTGCCCGTCGCATCACCAGTCCCGAGGAGATCAAACAGGAAGCACTCCGACGACTGCAGCTCCGAAGGCAACGAAGCACCCCTAACTTGACACTGAACTCTAGACAGGAGTCTAGTACCATGAGTAAAGCTCATACGGCAGATCCCATCTGCACTAACTCTGCCCAGTCGACCCCTGAGAGGAAAAGACCCCCGATAGGCCGCCTGCACATACCTACATTTGAGGAGTTTAAAAGAATGAGACAAAAGGAGGGCATTAAAAACCACAGGTTCTCTGAAATGGAGAGTAACGACAAGCATAGAGAGGAAAGAATACAGACAGAGGAAACGCAAAGTGCTGAAAGGACTGACATTGAAGTCAACACAGCTCAGGATTCGAACCACAGCGGAGCAGAGACGTCTGAGCCCAGTTCCACCGCAGAGGTCCCAGGAGGACCCATCTGCACAGGCCCAGTTGCTCGCTCTCCATTACACCCTCAAGCTGCTACAGGAAGAGGCAAGGAGACAAAGGGCCCAGAAGGCCCTGGGGCCACAGATGTAGCTGTTCTTCCCTTCCCACCCCGCAGGGAGAGTGGCGATGGCCCATCCAGCTGCTGCCCGGCAATCCTTCTGGACGGATCTGACCTTTCCAGCTATGGAGCCAAAATCTACAAAATGAGGGATGGCTTCCTGGGATCCGCCCTGGACCTTATTAAAAAAAGGTGAGTTGATGAAGAAGCTGTTGTGCTTGATAGTGTTAGCCTTGTGCATTCACATAGTACTTAAAGTTGTTATGGAAGTAGTGACAGATAATTTCTTCTGTAAAAAAATGTTGTCTTGGTTCTATCCATCGGTTGTTGATTGGATTGAGGCAGATCTGAATGCAAGCATGCAGACGATGGTAAGAAAGGGACAGGATTTAAGTGGACTGAATGATTGGAGAAGTCCTGAATAGGTCACCAAAAAGAAGTCTGTCATGTCACTGAAAATCGACTTATGTTATTTTTTTAAATGATTAAAATCAATTAAAAATTATGAGGTCAAAAAATGTTTTAGAAAATGAAACGGATGTATGGATGAATTGTTTGACAAAGGGATATATATATATATATATATGAATTCAAGGCCAATTCAAATCCTCCCATGATATTAAAATTGGGTCGATAACCGACAAATGTCGGATATCAAAATTCAGTTGTATTTTTATAATTAATTATAAATAAAAGAAAAATGTAAATCTATAGTTTTAAATGGTATAAGTGGTTTAAGGCACCACAATATTATAATGAACAAAATATGCTAAAGATTTAACATTGCAGTGTTATTAAATTATTAGTGTTTTTAAAGATTAACTGAGCGTGACTGGATAATGGCAAAGGGAATTTAAATGTAAAAATAGAGGAACATATTAAATATCAATCAATATATATCCAATATTGACCATTACCAATTAATTTAAAAAAAATCTCTATTAGCCAATATTTTGATACCACATTGTTATTGTGCAATGTGCATCCTAATCATTCAGAGGTTAAATGGGAAAAATGGACATCATCTGGAACAGTGTATCTCTTGGTTATCAGTTTTGCTTGTTATCTGTGAAAAATGAATCCCATAGCAGCTCTAGCATCGTTTGCATCAATATTTGTGTTATTGATTTATTCCGGAATCTCTGCACAGCTTGTATACAGAAACAGAGTGAATATATCATTATTGATGTGATTCTTAATGTCTTCATTTATGCCAAGTACACAGTAGCAGATGTGATATTTGCATATAGTGGCATATTCTATGGTAATTAGCAGGTTTAGCTATATTAAGAATGGAAAGCATGGCTATTGCAAATGCTATTAAATATCCTGTCCTAATCATCTTCGTCTTGTTTTCCAGTACAAAATTACAACCGAATTTTTTTAATATAATTTCCTAAAAAGCAAAATTACAAAAGCATTTTTTTTGTAGTAGTTTTAAGTTAAAGTTCATTGCATTTTGTTAAAGCTTTAAGTAAATGTATTTTGTTTTATTGGAAAACAAAGATAAAGAACCAGATTTTTGCAGTAGCAACAATCAAAGGTAAAGACTATAGTAAATACTACAGCAACAAACCCCATCTATTCCCCATTGATTCACTTCAGTAACTGTATTATACGTTAGTAACTGTATTATATGGATTCTTCTGTAGTTGTGTTGTGTTGTGGCAGTTGTCTTGTTCACACCTGTCCACCAAAAGCATGTTTTACACACACAATCTCACACAAGCCTAAAATATGCGAACCTGACAGAAATTTGATTAACATAACAGAACATAACTCTAGCCCTGACAGTCTTCTCAAATTTAGCATGGATGCATAAATCTGTATAGATTTTCCTTCAGACACTTTTGCTCCAGACATAGTACAGAGGTTAATTGCTGGTGCGTCAGAAGCTTTTCGACATTACAGAGCCTTTCTCTAATGTTATGTTCCTCCAGGGCAGGAGTTCAATCCAGGCTGGGAACCGTCTAAATATAACATCCAATATCCCAGCTGTCCCGTAGTGCTTCAAGTGAGGGTATTAATTTACTACAGAGCAGCCCAAGGCTTCCAGGTCTTTTTTATGAGACTTTTATATAGTTATTTTCATTTATTGTCTGCTTGATAGAAGAAAGAAGAACAAGTCACAAGGACATTTATTTAAGCTTACAGTCACTTTATCTTATTGCCTAGAATGGATGAGCACATTTCAAGGGAGCTTATTGTCCTGATATGATTTTTTTTTTTAATCATAGTGTTAATGTCTTTTTTTTTTGATGATTTTAGTCAGTATAGGTGGACAAAAACTTTAAATAAATAATAGAACATCATCCTAAAAGTGCTATTATAAAAACCTGTCAGTACAGTGGAATAAGAGTTTTTATACATCTTTATATATCTTAATAAATTAAAAATCCAATTAATGGCCACATACAGGACTGCTGAAATGACACGTAATATAGCGCTAGTGCTTTAATGACAATTTCATTCACGTGTGAAAGACATTGGTTTTATTGCCACTTTTAGAGCGTTGTATTAATTACTGTCAGTTCACGGCTACAGGTTTGTGAATGAACTCTTCCACATTTTATTGTTAGAATTAAAACGTATATTTGACGCGCACCGGCTATTAACATCTGCATTTTGTGATTCTCCTTTTCCTAGTGAGATGTCATAGCTTCTTTGTCTTTGTGTTTTCTTTTGAATGCTTCAGAGCTCATGGCTGTGGTGTCAGCACTATTCTCAGATGGCGTCTATGCAAATTTATGACAGCGATGAGCGCAGCATTATCAGATTCTGAGGAACTGAAGCATCAAAGGAGATGGAAATGATGTGGAAGAGGCAATTAAGAGCTTATAACTAATCACTCAAAACACCTGTTTTTTAATCCTAAGGGACGTCTGTATGCAGACTATGGCTGGGGAAAACAGCTGATTAGTATTAGTATCAAAGTCTGTTTATTCAACATTCAATGCTCAGCCATCAGCATTCATTCACAAATGTATTAATAATTTTAAAATAATGTCTTTGATTTGATACACTGCAAAAAAAACTTGTCTTTTTCACTATTTTTTCTTGTTTTCCAGTAAAAATATCTAAATATCTTTAAAATAAGATACAGTGTCGGCGCCAATAGCCTTGTCGTTAGTGCACCGACATACAGCGCTCGCAGCGACCCGAGTTCAAATCCCATCTCGTGGTCCTTTGCCGATCCTGCTCCCCTCGCTCTCCACCCAATGATTTCCTGTCTATACTTTCCTGTCCAAACAAAGACATAAAAAGACTATAAATAAATCTTTAAAATAAGATACAGTACCATTTAAATGTTTGAGATCAGTAATGTTGTTTTAAAAAGTCTCTTATGCTCCCCAAGGTTGCATTTATTTGATCAAAAATGTAATAAAAATATTCAAAAAAAAAAAAAAAAGTTTTACATTTTAATATATTTTAAAAGTAATTTATTACTGTGATGCCAAAGTTGAATTTTCAGCAGTCATTACTCCAGTCATATGATCATTCAGAAATTATTATAATATGCTGATTTGGTACTCAAGCAACATTTCTTATTATTATCAATGTTGTGCTGCTTAATATTTTTGTGGAAACCGTGATACATTTCAGGCTTCTTTAATGAATAGAAAGTACAAAAGGTCAGTATTTATTTTAAATTTAATTTTTCTATAACATTATAAATGTCACTTTTATCAATTTAATGCATCCTTGCTAAATACAAGTAATAATTTCTTTCAAAACTAAAAATCTACTTACCCCAAACTTGTAATGTACATTTACCTTTAAAGCAGAATAATATAAGATAATACTTTTTTTACCCCATTGGGAAATCAAGTAGTATATTTTCTTGTAAATCCAAAACATCAATGTAAAATTGGTTTAAGTGAGAATAACAAGAAAAAATAACAAATAATGCAAAATATGTAAGCTTAAAACAACAAAAACTACACCAAAAATCTCTGTTATGTGCTGTTATTTATTCACCGTCTGCAGTGCGTGGGGTCATCCACGGATACATAAGCTCCTTTTCTACTTGACGCACACACAAAGAAATCTAAAAGATTGATTGTGCTTGTTTCCGATTCGGAGCCCTGCAGCGAAGAGTTCAGGTGTTAATGTGAATTGATGCGTCTAATTGCTGTCCTCCGTGAGCCCCTCTGGTCTGGGGGGCATCGGTCCTCTCTAGGGGATGGGGGTTGACTGCACGGCACGTGAAGGAGCGGAGAATCAGGACTTGTAATTCCAATTCAACACTCCCATTTTCCTCCTTTTGTGTTCTCTCTCCCTCACTGCTCCAGCTGCAGTGCAGAGATTGCAGCCGAGTCTCCCATCCGATTGTCGCGTGAGCAGAATGACGTCACTGACATCACCGCTCCCCAGCCCAGCCATCAGTCTGCCCACGTTGCCATGACAACGTCGGCCTGTGGAGAGGAGGCTTGCACCAAGCCCGTGGGACAACGGGGGAAAGCAGCAACAGAATGCGTAAGGAATGCTGCCGTCTCATGCACACCTCTGCTTATTATCACCTCTGAACGAGGACAGCGGCGGCTGTCATGCATATATGGGAATGTGATCAGGGTGCATGGGAGGCTGAGGTTGCAGGGGAATCTGCACGGTAGAGGCGACTGCAGACATGCAGCGGAGCGCACAGAGCCGCAGCTAAGAGCAACACGCAGGGAGGATTAGAACCAGGTTTCATGGTGGTAACTGCCTTAACGTTTCTTCTGTACTGTATGTCAGGTTGTGTGTTGATGCTCTCTGCTGCTTGAGATGCCAGCCAGCTCTTCATTGCGCCACATTCATTCACGCCATACGACCGGCTGTATGTTTTTTAAGGTTAAGGGGGATATCGAGGAATGCTGGCATTCATGTGTAATGTTGCTATGATTCATTGGTCAGCCGTTGCGCACAGATGCTTCTTCCGCCTCTGCATTTCTGTGTGTCTTTAATTAAGATAACAGCTGCCTTATTAATAATTCTGTACGTCACCTGAAGCCACGGTGTCTTGTTTCTCGTGCATTGCTAACACTTGAGAACCTAATGCTGTCGAGCGACCTTTTGAGGGTTTTACGCCATAGATGTGTGTTTATAGCAGATGCATTTGAAACACAATATTTCTGACTTAGAAATGTCGTTTTGGAATTGCAGATGTTTAAAAGGTGAAAGGTTATCAGTTGAGTCAGTTGAGGCAGATGCCTTTAAAGACAACACATTTGATATCTGACAGAGTTAAGAGTGAAACAAATTAGACTGGAAAATAAATTGATTGACTTGATTTTCACACTTTATTGGAGCACACAAAATATTACAGCTATTTGCAGGGATTGTTCAAATATATGATCTTGGTGATTTTAGCCAAAAAGGACAGTTGTGTGAGGAGTGTGAAATATTGTAAAGACACATTTTTGGTCATACTTTATGTTAAAGGGCCTTAACTACTATGTACTTACATCAAAAAATAACTACAATGTACTTATTGTGCTCATATTGTATTGCAAAACACTTCTGCTGCTATTGAGGTGGGATATGGGTATGGTTAGGGACAGGTTTGGTGGTGTGAGTAGGTTTAAGGGTGGGTCAACAGTGTAATTATAAATGTAATTACAGAAATTAATTACTGATTTAATTACATGCAGGTTTTTTTTTGTTTTTTTTTAAATATAATGTATGTACAGAATAAGTGCATTGTACCAAATGATTCATTTAAATGCAAGTACATAGCAGTTTAGGCCACTTAATATAAAGTGGGACCCAATTTTTTGGGGTATGTTATTTACAGTAAGATTAGGAAGGGTTAGGAAAGCACTTCCTTAGGGAAATTAGGACTGACTTTGTTATGCGTAAACTATTTTGTTTACCATTGACTACCATTTTATGGACAAAAAACACTGAGACTTTTCTCAAAATGTCATATTTTATGTTCCACAGAAAAAGTAAGTCATACAGGTTTGGGAAAACATGGGGTTGAGTGAATGATTACAGAATTATGTATGAACCGTCCCATTAATAGTGACTTTAAACCATCCGGCAGGCCAGTTTTAAAAGGAAACTGGGTTTCCGAATTATTTCTATTTAGAAAAGAGATGAATTTTATGTCTTTGGAGTCTGTCAGTAGACTTTTTAATAAACAGTAAATGGGCATGAAAAGCCACAGCAAAGAATTTTCCACTTACCACCACAATATATTAAAAGTTCTGGTATCGTTACACCCTCTGGATGTATGGTAATGCAGTGACTCTGATCGATGTCTGAAACAGTTAGTGGTTCCATATTCTCATATGTGCTTAGGGATCAAATCTGCCTTCATTGAGGTTTTACACTGTTAAACTCTCCCCTCACACACACACACACACACACACACACACATATTTCAGACCAGTGCTCTGCCATGTGCACTGTTGATTGACAGATCTCCATCCTATCAGCAGGTTTCTGGGGCGGGCTGCAGACGCTCCAGCTCGGACGCGGCCTATGAGCTGGCTGAGTCAGTGAGGGCCCAGCGTGAGTGCCGCCTGCGTCCCCACTACAGCGACCCCATGCCTGCAGACGCCACCAAGCGTAAGCAGCTAGAGATGAAGATCGCCGCCGCGGCACGTTTGCACATTCACCGCAGAGACAGGGACAGTGGTAAGACTCTTTCAGCTGCACTAAGCTTTGCTCACAGTTCTTGCTGTAAGTAATCTTAACTCATGTCCTAGATTTGTACTGACAATGCTTCATTTAAAAAGTGTTTAGGCGTGCTTGTCTATAACCCAAGGGTATCACTTTAGTTGTTATTATGAGACTCTGCTTTTACTAAAACCTGGCCTTAGGTGGCTTTTACTGTAGGTTTGTCACATGCATGACCTCTGCCCTGAGGACTGCTTTTATCTTTCTGCACCACAGCAGTTTTTAGATGTAAAGGCAAATACATATCTAGTATCAAATTAGGGGTGCACAGTATACTGTATCAGCACCGTATTGGATATTTTCCGTTAATTTGTTGTTTTTAAATATATTGGTATTACCAAACAATAAATTATTTAATTGTTTCTGGCTATTTTAGGATTTTGATAATCATGTAGCACTAACTTAACATGTAGCACTAAATAAATAGTGATAGATTATGGCAGAGCACAGTCCTTGTTATTATGAGCAGTTATGTTATTCTATTTCAAACAGGATAATTTGTTATAGAAGATTTAAAAAGGAACTTTCTTAATTTTCTTTTAAGTATAGATTTTAAAAAGTATTGATTTATCATCATATATGTAATTTCAGTTATTATAACATGATAATTTGGAGGTTTCTATTTACCATTTCTCAGGTATTTTACCAGTTAGTGTAAACAAGAAGCTATTTGTTGCTATTTACACTACCGTTGAAAAGCTTGGGGTCATAAAGTTTTTTTATTTTTTTTAATTAATATTTTTACTCTGCAAGGATACATTAAATGAACGAAAATGCCAGTAAAGACATTTTTACAAGATAATTCAAAATAAATGCTGTTCACTTGAACAGCAACACATAAAAAATGTATCACGGTTTCCACAGAAATACTGTGGAAACATTGATAATAATAAGAAATGTTTGAGCAGCAAATCAGCATATTAGAATGATTTCTGAAGGATCGTGTGACACTGAAGACTGGAGTAAGTTTTACAGTTTTTTGCTGTCTCACTTCCTTCAAAAACATTCAAAGATCTTACTGAACCCAAACTTTCGAATGGTAGTGTACCTTAACAGTATTTAACTTTTTTTATACTCAGTGTAAATATACCACTGCCATGGTAAATTCATGGGGATGTTTTAAAGTTCAAAACACCTATTAAAATATTTAAGTGAATTTTTGCTGTTTTTTCTGGTCTCTTTTTGTTTTACCTCTACTCTCCCAATGCAAGTGATTTTAAAACTAACATTTTAAGGTTTTTTACAGTTTTATTAGACTTTTTTGATTATCTGTATGTTATTAATGTAACTACTGTTATGAAATTATGAGAGCTGATCTTCAGAGGTTTGTTTGTTCTTTGTCATCAGTGCCAGGCACAGCAAGGGGCCGCTCGGAGCCCAGAGGTGAGGAGAGGAGCAGGGGCCTGGGTGTGAGGCGCTCAGCACAGCACCGCTGGAGTACCATCAGCAGCCTGAGCGCAGACAGCGGTGTCGTAGGCTTGAGCGATGAGCGTGAAGATGAGGAAGAGCCCCGTCGCACCCGCCACAGTGCCGGAGCCGAGGTAGAACGTGTGGACAGTGGCATCGGCCCTGGACTGGCTCGGGGCTGGAGGAGACCCTCGCCGTCCCTCAGGGCCTGGGACGCTCAGCAGCCCTGTCCCGACTGTGGACACAAAGAGGGGGTCCGCGAGGAAGGCATGTGTGAACGCTGCTCCAAGCTACGCACAGAGCGCAAAGAGGCCATCCTAGAGTTTCTCAACACTGAGTCGAGTTATGGAGAGGACCTGCGCATCATCAAGGAAGAGTTTTACTGCCCCATGCAGAGTGCAGGGCTGCTCACAGCAGAGCAGCTGGCCGTGGTCTTCAGCAACGTTCAAGAGCTCATTGATGTCAATGACAGGTTCACAGAGCACCTGCAGGACAGTATTGATCAGGCTTTTGATCAGGTATGGAATGCTAGTGATGAACTGACATTTTGCCAGGCCAGTATGTGGCCATTTCAACATTAACATAACAAAAGTGTCAGTTCCAGAATCTACCGATTACGAAAATTCTGGGGAATTTTAGGAAATCATTAGACCTGTATTTCTCAACTGGTTTGGGCATGGGGCCCACATTTTCCCATGGTCATCAAGCCGCAACCCACTTTTTTAGGATATATATATATATATATATATATATAGGGTTAGGGGTGACCACGAATAGTCGAAGATTCGATGCTTCGATGCTTCGATAGGAGGAGCCTGATTTGACTACCAATCTCAGTTGAATATTCGCAGTGTGTTATGATCATGCCATTTTGGCTATATGGGGGTGCTCAAATGTCTGATTTCACGAAGAACTACTGGTTTTCTCCCAATAAGTTAATATACAGCCTATTAAAATAATGCTGTAAATCAGAATCTGAAAAGAAAGAAGCTTCAAATAAACATTTTAACGTGCGTGAATAATTCCAACCACCCTTATAGATTTAAATTTCACTTACCATAATCTGTGACCGACAGAGAAGCGTCTTGGCGGCAGGGATTTAAAACTTTAACAAGACTCAAATTGACAGTGAAAGACTGGATTTTTTCGATCAGGTAGGGTACAAGGGATTTCAAAACATTTCAGCCGGTTTATATATATTGTGTATATATTATTTATCTCGTATAAGATGCATTTGGTTGAGTTGCGCTGCAGTAAAGCGCTTCATTGTAGTACTACGGTGATTATCTCTTGAGCACGCAGCGGGAGCAGGACAAACACAACAATGCAGAATATTAATAACTATGACTGGGACTGTCATATACATAACAATTATAATTAGGGCTGGGTAAAAATATTGATATCTCGATTTTATTCGATTCTCATTTTTACGGAACGATATCGATTCTTAAATCCCAAGAATCGATTATTCTAGCCTGTTTTCAGTTAATGGACGGAATGTTTAAGGGCTATTCCCATCCAATATATCGCAATAAGCATTGTGCTTTGGTACTTTTAATATGAAACAAAGTCTCAGATTTCAAATTCTGTCCATTGTATTGCAGTGTTTAAAGGCACAATATGTAATTTTCACCGCTAGAGGGCGCGTATTCAAAATAAACAAAGAGACAAAGGCGTAGTTTGATGACGCTGTGACTGAGTGTGGAATCATGGGAGTTGTCGTCTTCATCCCCACAGCTGAAGCAGTCCGATGGGACTCGGGCAGAAATCATGTTCATGGATGAGCTAATGATTTATTAACGTAGTAGAATGAAGCAGGGTGAGGCTGAAAGCCGTCGAAGCGAAACGAGGCTGCTGAACAAGCGTGACACACGGCTCGAAAGCAGCGGAGCTTTTATTGTGCCACAGTCGACCGCTTCCGCTCCTTCCGGTCGTGAGTATGAGGGGAAAAAAAGCAGTGCTGTTTTATTATACTAGATACATTTGAAAGTTCTGTTATAATGCTACTCTGTGCGGTTGTCACCGGTCTATTAAAACGCACAACATATTAAAGCGTCTTTGGTGTTTCCATGTTTTCTACAAAACAAAACCGGAATATATATATATATATATATATATATAGGGTTAGGGGTGACCACGAATAGTCGAAGATTCGATGCTTCGATGCTTCGATAGGAGGAGCCTGATTTGACTACCAATCTCAGTTGAATATTCGCAGTGTGTTATGATCATGCCATTTTGGCTATATGGGGGTGCTCAAATGTCTGATTTCACGAAGAACTACTGGTTTTCTCCCAATAAGTTAATATACAGCCTATTAAAATAATGCTGTAAATCAGAATCTGAAAAGAAAGAAGCTTCAAATAAACATTTTAACGTGCGTGAATAATTCCAACCACCCTTATAGATTTAAATTTCACTTACCATAATCTGTGACCGACAGAGAAGCGTCTTGGCGGCAGGGATTTAAAACTTTAACAAGACTCAAATTGACAGTGAAAGACTGGATTTTTTCGATCAGGTAGGGTACAAGGGATTTCAAAACATTTCAGCCGGTTTATATATATTGTGTATATATTATTTATCTCGTATAAGATGCATTTGGTTGAGTTGCGCTGCAGTAAAGCGCTTCATTGTAGTACTACGGTGATTATCTCTTGAGCACGCAGCGGGAGCAGGACAAACACAACAATGCAGAATATTAATAACTATGACTGGGACTGTCATATACATAACAATTATAATTAGGGCTGGGTAAAAATATTGATATCTCGATTTTATTCGATTCTCATTTTTACGGAACGATATCGATTCTTAAATCCCAAGAATCGATTATTCTAGCCTGTTTTCAGTTAATGGACGGAATGTTTAAGGGCTATTCCCATCCAATATACTGAACGAGCGTGATACACGGCTCGAAAGCAGCGGAGCTTTTATTGTGCCACAGTCGACCGCTTCCGCTCCTTCCGGTCGTGAGTATGAGGGGAAAAAAAGCAGTGCTGTTTTATTATACTAGATACATTTGAAAGTTCTGTTATAATGCTACTCTGTGCGGTTGTCACCGGTCTATTAAAACGCACAACATATTAAAGCGTCTTTGGTGTTTCCATGTTTTCTACAAAACAAAACCGGAAATTGAGGGGTTATGACGTCATTGGCAGGCGACACAATGACACTATGGACACGGTCCGTGTCACTAGTTAAAATTGCTTATTTCTCTGGATTTAAACATTCTTGGAAACATTTTGGATAATGTAAGTACACAAGTCAGCAAAATATATAACACCGTTCTAGTGGTTTTTGGATATTTTAATAAAAAAATCTTACATATTGTGCCTTTAAACAATAAATGCCGTTTTAGCACTGTTTAATGTGGAGTGACAGATCGCTGTAGCGCGGCGCGCCTCAGTTCAGTAATAAGCGGCAGCGTGTAGCGCATGTGGACTGATCGTCTCCTCCACATTAATACCAGTGTCAGCACAAAATAAACATGACTAAACATCCGAAGGTAAGTTAAAAGAAAGAGTACAACTTTACAATCCATATCCTGTCTCATGTAATCGGTCAATCAGTGTTTCAGCCACGCAAAGACGTTAATATAATGGCTTGTAAACAAAGTCACTCACGTAACGTCACATTTACCTCAGAAAAAAAACATATTTGGTGACCATAAACTCATTAGTCAGATAGAAAATTAAACTGTAGAAAGGGGCATTTTGCTAAATATATGCACCATATAGCATATTCATTATCATTTTTACTGTTCTTCAATGTTTAATTTATGTTTTAATAAATCCATCAAGTTTTTATGACAGCCACCATTTAAATGTTCATATTTAAAAAAAAAAAAAAAAAAAAAAAAAAACGAATTGAAGTAGAAATATTATTATGTAATTGTAATTTTATTATTTTAAAAACTTCATTAAGTGTAATTTTAGCAGTTGTATATTAGCCTACAAATCAGTCGATTTTAACCTTCAATATTATAGTAATGTAGTACCAACTGACTCTTATGAGAGATGTTTATCGAATCGAATCGCAAGCTTGTGAATGAGATTCGAATCGAATCGTGAAATTTGTGTCATAACCCTGCCCTAAATATAACGAGAACACTATTATAATAAAACGCTTTTTTTTGTGTGACGTTAAAATTTTTATAGTTTAGTTGCCGTGTTTCTGCACGTTGTTGCGTGAAGAACGTGTAATAATTTTAACTCAGTTGTAAGGGAATTAATTATTATTATTGATTCAGGTTTTGATAGGACTCGGATTTGAAGAGCCTAATTCAACCTGATTCGAATTGCTTCTAAATTTGATAGTTTACACTCTTATCAGCTACTCGGCCAGCGAGAAGTTGATGTCAGTGTATATTACCAATTGAATATGTAAATTTTGTATTCTCCCTGGCCACGGGTGAAATACAATTATGAT